GGGAGCGGCCACTGCACTCCAGTCTGGGCGACAGAGTGAGACTCCGATTCAAAAAAAAATAAAATAAAAATAAAATAAAACTAGTAAGTCAAGTTCTATTTTTCCTTCGGTGTATATAAGGAAATACAGATTATAAAAGTAGGTACTCCCTCTCTAACTATGTCAAGTGTAAAACTTGACTTTTTTCCTCTAAAAAAAATGTTTAGCAGATTTTATTTTGATTCCTTGTAATGTTGTGTTCTTACTGTATCTGCTACTCTAAAATTGAAAATGACAGCATTCATTGCCATCCATGAAATTTTTTAAAAAGGAAGCAAGTTCAGGTGTTATACCCCTGGAGGCTAGATGTTTCTTCCACAGTCTACCCCACTCCAGGATAAATTATTAATATGGTTGGATATTCCTGTTTGGACCAACAGTACTTTTAATTTAATTCTATCTGTGACAGAGTCTGAGGACCGAAAATTTATCATTGAAAGTTTTTTTTTTAACAATACCCAGAAAATTCATTTTAGACATTGATATTTACGTAAACTTATATTTTACTTTTCCTATAAGAGTTCTTTACTCTTTCTGGCCTAAATTTTCTACTTAAGCCGGTCTCAGTGGCTCAGCCTGTAATCCCACGCTTTGGGAGGCTGAGGTGAGTGGATTGCCTGAGCCCGCGGGTTGGAGACCCGCCTGAGCAATTTGGCGAAACCTCATCTCTACAATAAATAAAAAAATCAGCCAGGCGTGGTAGCGTGCGCCTGTAGTTCCGGCTGCTCAGAAGGCTGAGGCGAAAGGCTCGCCGGAGCCCAGCAGGTCAAGGCTGCGATGGCCGGGAGCGGCCACTGCACTCCAGTCTGGGCAACAGAGTGGGACTCCAACTCAAAAATAAAAAAAGTTCTACTTAATATCAAAATATGTTTGTGATAGTACAGAATTCTGTTGTGACATCCCGACGTCAAAAGAAAACTCTAAGGAAGATCAGCATCAAAGGAAGGACTTTATAAGGCGGCAGTAACGTTGTTCATGCACAACAGTGATGTTAGCAAACTTTGGGGTGAGTGAGGGAACAAGAGCTGGGTGGGACTGAAGCCCTAGGAGAAGGGTTGTAAAGAGATACATAGAGAATCTATAGGCCTGAGAGAGAAAAAACTTTTTTTTTTTTTTTTTTACTGCTTAACTATTTTGTTATTTAACATTGTAATGATATCAGAATGATAATAGAGAAACCTCCCGTTTCTTCCAGAGCAGTAGTTAGTAGAGGTGCATAGGTGTATTGCATCATTATATTTTGATAACTTAACAAAATACATATTCTTTCATTCTTGCATATAAATTCTTTGATGGTCCACATGGTAAATTTTTTGTCAGCTAGACTCAACTAAATATGAGTCTAAGTGACACACGTTCATCTTTAGATATAGAAGTAACTATTAAAATTAGACTATTACTATTGTAGGATTCTGCCTTTTAAATCAGATTCCAAAGATTTGCTTTACTAATTATTTGACTTGCCTCAATAATACACTCTTCTATGTAATCCTGATTTAAATTTCTTATGTCATAATTGCTGTCATGGCTAAATCTTGCAAATCATTAAACTTCTTCATTAAATCTTTCTGGAATTTGGAATTATGATTAGATGATTCTGCCTTTCTTTCTACTCACTTTGTTTCTGGATAACCTTTATTCTGAAGCTACCGACTTTGATTCTCTTGCTATTTGAGAGTAAAATGGGACATAGACTTTGAACTTGTGATCAATCAGGATTTCTTTAGTTGAAGAATGCCTGTTGTCAATTGAAGCCTGCTTTATTTTCATCCAGTTGAAGCATCTTATATATGATTCCTTATTTCTTTTGAAAGTCTGGACTTCTTTTCACTGGTTTTACTGTTTCATTTCTCGTGCCACTCCCACTGTGTTTATAACATTTCTATGAAAAGATCTGTTTCCTTTTACCATTGTTTTGCCTCTAGGTTAAAACCCAAATTAGCTCTAAATTTGGGGGACATCTGGGTGTTAACAGATTATCAGATTATATTTCAAATTTAATTATGCTTGCATTTTCCATGAAAGAGCTCCTTACAGAAACCAAGGTGTGTACTTCCTTATGTATGCTAGGTTTAATCAGCTTGTTGGAAGTGTGGTCTAACTTTTGGCCACAGCATCATTGAAGGCCATTTCTAACCATCAACCAACCCTTTACAGCATCTTGTGTTTTTTTTTCACAGATTTCAGACTTCAGGAATCCTTCTTTAATCTCCCACAACTTCTTTTTCCGGAAAATGTAATGCAGAGTAAAGATAATGCCCTCGGTATGGTATATGTCAGGAATAGCATTCAGAATACATGAAAATGATCTGTTTAGAGCTCTTCTGCTCGTTGAAAAATTGGGTTAGTTCTTCTGTGAAATCAGCCTTGATGTTACTATTACAGACTATACGTATTTTCTTCCCATATTTTTTAATCTTAAATTGTAGTGTTCCTGAGACTGAGTATTGACTGGCCACTTAATGTACTAAAATATGTGACATTTCTGTACATTCCTACAAAGGAGGAACGTTTTAGAGAGTAGAGAGAAGCACTTGACCATTTTCTTTCTTCTTTATTTTCCTAAAGACTTCAAAGAGATTCGTTATTCTTTTCATGTAATACGCTTAGATAAAATCCTAGTTTTTTTCACATTAATAGTAACTTTACCGCTTAGGGTTATAAGACACGTCATAGCTGACATCTGGTTTTCACACGAATGTTTCATGTACTGTAAGGGTTGAATTCTCTTTAAAAAATAGTATTCTTGGCTCCCAGAGATACTTTCAGTCTCTTAATTTTCAGTATCCTCTAAGTGTATCACTAAGGGTTAGTTTTAGCCGTTTAAAATTATGCTTGTGACTGCTCATTCCTTTTTTCACAGCTTCTCTTTCTCTTTTAAGAAAATTGAGTTTTATCTTTGACAAGACACGTTACAGGTTTTTCTTTGCATCATTTAACCACGTTTAATTTTAGTTTCTTTGATTGCCAACTTTTATAAATGTTTTCAGTTTTATAAAAAACGGTCTCACATTACTTGATACAAGTTCCAAAGCAGTGTTTGAGTATAACAAGCTGTGGGGTTTTTTGGGTATAGCAGCAGTATGGATTGGTCTAACTCAGTGAATTCCCCTTAAGGAGTTATCTTAAAGTATGCTCTCTGTTCCTGCCCATGTAATAGCCAGCCCCTTTCATAAAGAAATAATTTATGCTTTTTGCATTTTTAGCTGGAGGAAGGAAAGTTAATTTGCTCATATGCTTGTCCTTCAGTCAAGTCACCCATATATTCACCATCTCCAAACCATCCTAACTACCTAAGCAGTTAGGCCACCTCATCATAACAACATCAAACTGATACAGGTGGAAATGTCTATATGACTTTGATTCTCTCCTTCCCATTTTCATTCATTCAACAGTTATTTGTTATATGTTTACCGTGAGTCAAGAGACTATGGTATTCACTAGAAAAGAAAACAAGGTGAAACAGATTTCAGGACTGCCTAGGAAGATGCGAACATGAAAATTAAGTATTTTCTAGAGGACATATATTCTGATAGGGAACGTAAGTAACCTCACAAATAAGTAGAATATGTGTAGAACATGGTGAACCACGTAACAGGTGCAGTACAGGAAAGGACCCTGTCAGTTCTGAGGGGTGAAAAGTCACTTTCACCTTGGAAAATTATAAAGACTTTGTGGAAGAAGTGGGATGTGAACTTGCAGAGAAGAAAAGACCTTGCCAGGAGAAGAAGCAGCATGAGCAAAGCCTCGGAGGTGGGAGGCATGGGG